CGTATCTGCTGAGCTGCTAGCGCAACGCTGAGTGTGGCCAGACTACATGTATGTAGGAGCTGTTTTCAGTTTAGGAGTAGGGTAAAGGATACGGAGGTACCTATTGTCCACTAGACTGGCCAAATTATAGTTGTGTCCTCTAAAGTGCCGCTCAAACCTTTCCTTGACTTTTGTCCTCAAAGAACATTGCTAAAATCTCTTTGCTGAAAACTTTAAATTCGGTCTGTTAAAATTAAATAATAATATTATAACCTTTAAATTCAAAACACATGCTACTGATCACCTCTGTGAACAATTTCGGTGTCATAAAATTTGACAGCCTGAAATTAATGAAAACATCCAGAAATTGGCACAATTTCAGCTGAGTGTTCCCTAAGTCCTAACGTGGGCCGTGCACCGGAACAAATCTCTCAAAAATCCCACGTCCACTGGCATGGCGTGCCAGGGGTACAGTACAGGCCAGGGATGGTGCTATTCAAGTGAAACATGTTAAGTTTGATGGTTAGAACATGCTCGTTCAGATTAGAGCCTGAAAAATACTGAGCGTTAGAACTAAATATGTCTCGTTATTTAACACACAAAAAATGAAGTTACCTTTGGATTGCTTGCTCCTGCGCCACCCGCACGTACGTAGGCATCATCACGCCGATGCCAGCGCTCTGCAATGTCAGTTACAGCGCCCCCAATATTAAGATTGGACTAAACGCACGACGCTCCAGCTCAATATTTTATGGACCATGGGAAGATACATGTGCGCCATAATCGGGACAAATCATAGAAATGATTATATATGTATAAATCACCGTGGCGAATTTGGGACAAGTAGCTTCCAATTTGGGGCATGTTGCGCACAAAAGTAGATTACTGCTTTAAGAATAATTACTTTATGAATTCAGGATTGTGTAAACTAGTTTGATCTGTTTTATTGCGCGGCTTTTACAGACAGACTACCATAAAGCCAAACCGTAATAATTAGGCCTGTAACGTTTATCTACGTACGTATAAGACCGCCGCAGTGGACTGTTCTTTAGGTTTTTGAAAGTGATGGGTCAATTTCTGACAGGATATGCTCTGTTGGGTCGTGTAATTCCTCAGTTTGTATTAATTTATATAGTAGCAAATGTTTTCAAAAGCCAGGCTTTTACTGGGTTGGATTTTTAAAGAAATAACTCAACAAAAAAGTATTACAAATTATAACATCTTTGCTCGTTATTTATCCTATCTAGGTGTTCCGGAAGCGCACCATTAGGGGTCATCTTTCAGGCTCTGTTATAGGTAGACTTGTCTCTTTTTACCCAACGGTTTCAGAAAGTGGTTTTGTTGTACCACTTATTTACCCGGTGTTATTATGCTCTTTAAGTTGCCCACCAGTCCAGCGATTCACCTGTTATTCCGCGTAGGGCAAAAGTATGCTTAATAATTTCGGTAAAGAACTGACTAAAAATATAGCACAGAAAACCTTTATTCAAAAGAAAACCGCTTCTGGTCATTGTCTTGAATGTCGACCTGATCCGACCCCCCCCCAACACAAAACCCTCGAAAGGCTAACCCGTTCCTTCGGAGCGCCGGGCGGCATTATTTCCGCCCTACATTGTATGTACATGTATTTGTAATGGGGGGGGGGTGCATTTACTGTCCGACAGTGAGCGTGACCCAACTTGCAAAAACGCACAGTTGCATTCGATGTCCCTCTCTACGAGAACGTAAGGAGCCCCCAGGGGACAGGCACAATGAGGATTTTTTGTAATTCCGTTCCCTCGAATTTTTATTTTGTTCCCTCGACATCATCTCGTATAATAATAAGTACCACTCTATGTTGCCCATCTTTTGCTCATATGCATGCAGTCCGTGTCAAGAAAATTCCAGTATCGGTTTAGCTTCAGAAGGCATTATATTGCAACCTAAAAAAAGGCATATTTGGCTAGAATCCCCAGAATTTCGGACGTAACTTTGCGGATTTTTTGGTAGATAACGTCTCGTATAGCATCTCTTCTACGACTGACTGTATTTTGACGTCATAGTGTGTGTTGCGGTCATGATGTAAACTACGGCTGCATCCGAATCTCTTGCCTAGAGCTAGGTCTAGGTCTTCGCTCCATTGGAAATGCGTGGAGACGCATAGACAATAGACCTAGCCGTAGCTCTGGAAGCCCAAGCCTCAGACGGTTGCTTTCGTCCAGGCTTTTGAGTTACAAAATATATGGTTTTTTTAGATTGATGCAAATTAACTTGCATACAGGTTTGGGAGATTTTTTTTTCTCTTTCCAGTAGTGGTCATTCTTTTGATTTACATTACGAAAAAAACAATACTTGCATTATGTTCAGATCTTCGTCGTGCTTGTGCACACTGACAGGGCCTATTTCAAGCGCGCCAATCACCAGCGCTGTTTAATCCCCTGCTTGGTACCCTGCTCAACATAAGCGGAAGTTGATCGACGACCAGTTTTCCACTGTGGCGCTGGCGCGAGAATTAGCATGACAATGCCTACGCACGAGAACGCATGTGTGGCCGAGTTGGCGGGTTTGTTTAAATGTGACTTCACCGGAGGTGAGTTTAAAGGTGAGAAATATCATTGACTTACCGTCCAACAATTGAAAATATATGGGGAAATGACGGCAGAGATGATAATGAGATTTCCGTATGACAAACCCCACAAGTGTGGGCTTGGCTTTGTTGATTTTACACTGCTTTTGCTGTGGTAAAGTGCTCACTGTATGTAAACATGCCGGCCCCACAGTGATTGTTAGGCATGCAGGCTGGGATTTTAACAGGGTTCCTTTGGTTTTCTTAACTTGTGGCAGTAATGGAGAGACGAGAAACACTCCTGTGAGACCGTTTTCTGGATTGTTGCACATCCGAGATATATTCTGACACTTTATTGTACTCAGCAGGTATGAAAACAGCTCACGTCAAACAGATACTGTAGGCCTAGCCTACTTTTGATAACAGCCCAACAGTAAATGGTAATATATTTAAAAAAAAATAGGCCTAGGGAGTAATAGGGGCCTATGTACAATTGTTTTGTAAATCTGAAACATGACTTTTGTCCAACCAATTTTTCAACCAATGAAAATCTCCAGCCTGTATGTGGGGCTGAAGTTAGTAATTTTATAGTCGATGAGTAGTCTAAACAAACTGGAGAGTGGAGGATAGCATGATTTGATAGGGTAAATGAAGAGAAAATATTACTTTACACCCCACGAGAATTTGTCAGGAAGCCAAAGTCTTTGAAACTAACTAGACCCATCCACTTAGGTTCAGAATTATATAAATACATGATACAATCTGTAATTTCTTCATACATGTATTTCAGTGAACCTGGTAAAAATTGGGTAGAAAGTAGGCCTAATACTTTGAGTCTGTGTTGCATGGAGCCATGCACGGAGATTGCATGATGAAAATCTTAAAATTGGAGGTTGTGCCAATCATTTCTGAATACAACTTGATTATTTTCAAAGATTCTTCTGTGCCAAAATGATTTTGGTTGAGGTATTACCTTAAAATCTTTCTGTACTGAAAGTACAATGGGGAGAAGTCTAGTTTCCAAAATAACTGTCCTCTTTGTTTTGTTCATTTGTCTATGTGCTGTCGGTATGTTCGTCAGTCTATCTGTTATTCATCTGTCTGTTATTCTGTTGTCTCTCCCCCTCTCTCTCAGTCATTCTCATTCAGATATGAAGGTTATTGTGGAAGCACATACCATGTACGTTTCCTTCCTCAACTTAGTTTTACTTATTGTTCAGAGTCTTAGACTGGAATGCCAGTTAGCTTTTGTGATGGAAGCAAAACATTTGCTGGATTGTTTTGTGAGTGAATGATCAAATGTGCAGTAGTCTTTTTCAGGCAGTGAAAATTTGTTTATTCCTGTCTTTTTGCAAAACAAATCATGATATTCTTGCAATAGGGGTTTTCACATGGTTATTAGCTTGCAAAAGTTTTTAAAGCCAGACTCAAGAACTTGAAAATCAGGTTCACCATGATTTTATTCTGTCACAACAATACACTGCTTAACCGAAAGTCCAATTGATGTTCGAATAGCGTAGAATTTAATTTATTTATGTCAGGGAATGATACTCACCTCTGAAGGCACTGTTGTATGAAATCGCTCAATATATCTTTTAAATAACATTTGCACTTTTGGCTTTATCATTTGTGTCATTACAAACATTCTTTGCAAGTACATGTGTAAGGTATATCAGAAAAGCCCCGACAAGAAATATTTTGGGCAGTTTATGTTGTACTCTATGTTTGCAACATACGGTGCGACGTCTCCACGTGAGACTACGGCATGCACAAGTATCAAACACTGGCTACAGCTCTCCACCGCTGCGTCTTTTCATCAAAATTTGAAGCCATCTCATGGGAGGCAGGACCGGATTGTGGCTACATGTACTTCTGTCATGTGCCACCCCATACAATGCCATGTATTAACTAAACTGATACACCTGCAGTGCTGGGTGCACATACGTGAATTACAAATTCTCAATCAGCTCTTTCCATCTTTCCGATCCTTCAAAGCCCTCTGAGAATCGGCAAATAGGCTCCTCCACTCATACTTTCTTGCCATTTTTTCATTTTGCATGTTTAATGACTGTTATGTGTATTCATTTCAGCTAGAGCACAAGCCGCTGATGAATCGTTACAGGATGACCAGCTTCTTGGCCAATGGCCATCTTGATGATGACCAATGTTGTAGAGGTGATTGTACTGTGATCTCTTGCTGTAGCCTTCTAGGTAAAAAGTGAGTGATTCTTTGTTATTGGTCATCCGAAGGGCATGATTCACTGATTGAGTCTCCTGTGAACTCATTCCCTCATGTCCTATAGACCTAGTACATTAGACCTACCCCACCTCACTGTATTGTGTGTAAACAAAGTGAGACGTCATTATGTCTACTTTGTATTTAGGGGTCATCCTGACTGGATAAATTTATTTTGCCCAAATACTGGGTGACATATATATAGGGAGCCATGACATAGCTCCAATGGTCCCCCAAATCCTCTGATTTCAATATGATTTCACATGCACCCTTGGAGGCTACGGTTAATACTGTTTGTAATTTGGGAATTTTTCTGCACAGACTGTGATCTCCTGTATTGGCCTTTAGTTGGACCGAGAGAGAACACTATTTTCTTGGCATCAGATGCTCCTTTGGTACTAACTGTGCATCATTGGTTCATGAACGACTAGGACATGCAAGAGGTGCAGCCCCATCGCTACCAACAAAATGAATACTCCCAACCAACATGGCACTTTTCAACCAATTAAGTTGTACTTCTACTCATGGCAATATGAAGAGATTGTTTGGCTGAAAAATTAGGTGGGATTGTTTAAATATAGCCCCAGATCAACACTTTTTGTTTTGCGGTCTTGCATCTGTAGATGGTTGAAAACAGATCTTAAGAACTGGAACAAGTAGGGAGATGTAATTTGTGAAATCACTGCTGGCAAGCTTGAGGAAAAGGACTTTTTGGGAAGTGTATTTAAGGTGTTTTGAAGAATAATATGTACTTACACTGTCGCTAATCAAGTAGCAATTAAAAAGAAATGGAAAAATAACAACTTAGAAGATGAGATTTTTTAAAAAGAAACTCCAGTGATGTGGGCTCGTATATTATTTGGCCCTGATCTTTGTCGATTTCACGCTTCTTTCAATGATGTTTCAAATGATTGTAAAGTGCAATCGACATTTTGAAATGGTGGCCTCCATAAGTGTGTAGTAATGCAGACTGGAATTCAAACATGGTTTGTTTAGTTTCCCTAGTTTCAGTAGTTTGACGGAGAGATGAGCAAGCTAGTCCATGGAGGCTGTTCTCTGGAGTGTAACAAATCAGAGATATCTTATCACTGGTGACACTACTCAACAGGTATGGAGACAGTCTACATCATATTCTGGTACTAGTCCATGTTAATGGTAATGGTGAGATGCCCGGTGGTTTTCTCCGTATAGATCTTGACCTTGGGTTTTGTCTTTTAAGTTTTTCCATCAATGAGAATTTCAAGCATTTAGGGTTGGGTTGAATTTAACTTCAAAAAAACTGGATGGAATTATTTGGTGTGGTCGTTCAATTTGTGCCAAAGTGAACAGAAACAAGACAGAAGCTGCATCTACAGGCTGCTTGTAGTGAATGAGGAGTGTACTGAAATGAAATGTCCTCATTCCTGGATCCAAATCACGTACAAGGATGAGTGTACACATTCCACAGGGGTCGTTTAAAAAAATCTGGACTTGTTTTGTTCTATCAGCCAAATTTTTACTCACTGAAGCCATCCTTCTGTGTCAAATACATTAAAGTTGAAATGAATCGGTTTGTTACAATATGGCATACTCGCCAACATTGGCTTCAGTTGGTACAATCGCTCTTTGCACGCTGCCGCTCCAGGCATGCAGAATCTTGATCTTGATCTTTACAAAATTGGTTCAGTGATTTCCATGTATGTTGTTTGGTCATTCTGCGCATGCTGTGTCGGATCTTATACCATACGATTGGACAATGTTTCAGAAGCTGATTGTGACATGATTGTACAATCTGCCAGATTGAGGCTCTCCATGCAGAATAAATAACGTGTGTGTCCAGAGTTTCTTTTATGATATCCTTAACACAGGCTGGCTTCTATCATACACACCAAGGATTCAACATCCACTGCCCCCCCCGAGAATCAGTTAATCCAAGCTAATGCACTCATGTTGTATTGTCATTTCTACCTTTTGCATGTTTTTAATGACTGTTGTGTGTGTCCATCTCAGCCAGAGCACAAGCCGCTGAGTGAGGCGCTGTTCATGGTACATCCAACTTCTTGATGATGGGGTTCCTGTGCTCGTTGTTGAGGTGATCGGACTTTGATCTCTTGCTGCTGCCTGCTGGGTAAAAGGTGCGTGGGTCTAATGTTGTTGGTTATTCCAAAGGTGTAATTCATTGATTCAGTCCCCTGTGGACTCATATATATTTCATATATTAACCCAAAACATAATGACGTCAAGCTCTTATTTTCTACTTGGACAATTATTGTTTCCCACCTCACTGCCTTAGGAAACTAAGCATGACGTCATTTTGTTACAGGTCTCTTCACTTTTCCAAAAGTTGACAGGAGGTCCTTCTCTATGGATTAATTTAATTTTCACCTAAACCTGGGTGACATACCTGTGTATGGGGAGCCATCATTTAATGCCATTGATGAATTTAGGATGGCAGGTAAAATGTGAAATATCAGAGAGTGTTTGACCCAACCCCCTATGGAGTATGCAAAATCCTATTGAATCAGACGATTTTGGACTGTCTAAATTTTCTTCTTTCTGGGGCTGTTGAAAGAGCCCAAGAAGGTAGAGGGGGTGTCAGTTTAAAATGGCTGCTTCGAAGCTTTAGAATTATGACTTTTCAGGAGTTGTGTTTGCTGATCAACCGACAATTGAGAGTTGAAACAAAGGTCAATACGAAAACGAGAGTTAAAGACTATAAAGACATTGCAGTGGTGTCTACTGTTATTCGGCCCTGATCTTTGTTGACTTGACTCTGTGGTTTTATTAGCTGTAGCATTGATGAAGAGACAAGACCAGGCCCCTTGGAGACAGTTTTCTGGATTTTGACACATCACTAGCAACTGGCATTACTGACAACACAACTCACTCGGTAAGCACTTTAGATGATGTTCTGATTTGAGTCTAATGAAAGGCATGTTCCAGATTTTGAAACAATATCTGTACATATCTTTGTATACATGTACAATGTTTCTGTAAAATCTGGAGCATGGCTTATCAGGCTCCACTCTTGAGGACGACGAGAGCATGCTGGATGAAACGTCGAGTACACACTCTACAGTTCTTATCAGAACCATACCTCTTCCAAGGGAGATCTATCCACATGATGTAACCACAAGCCCTGTTTTTAGTCTCTACCATGTAAAGCGTCAAGTCTGATCATGAAGTTATGCTCTATATAAGGACAAATCCTAATTAAGCATTTGTCTGTGACTGTAGAGTTGGTGAAAATCAACTGATCTTGTTGTCATTTTGTTGTACATATCCACTGAAGAACGTTTCATTCTGACATTCCCAAACGTAAGAGAACTAGACCCAAATGAAAGTGAAAGCTTGGGTCAGCCATTGTGTTTGCCAGTAATCTTCTCCCTCTTGTACTTGTTAGTCAATCTATTTCAGTAGTACGTTTGGTCTTTTTATACGAGGATAGTCTTCAAATAGTCGAAATTTGCTGACCTTGTTTATTGGCATGGGTATCATCTCTTCAGTCATCGGAGAATGCTTCATTTCCATATTTCCAAATGTGAGAAAATTATCCGCAAAATGAAGGCCATGCTTTAAAATGAATTTTTCTTACTGGTTCTTTTGAATCATGTAAATTTACTCACTTGAAAAAGTGTCCAGTTTTAATTAAGTCCACTGTGCCCTCCTTTTGAAGAGATCTTATTGGCTTGGTAATTTATTATTATCCGTGTGATGCCTTTAATCATGTCATCCCAATTAAACATTTGTCTGTTATTTTTTACGCCTGTACTACCACAATTACGGCCAAGATTTAGACTCTAGCATTGTACCTATCTGTTCTACTCGTTAGTTTTCTGCTGACAGTAGAACAGTGATGTGCTCCATGCTGTGATATGCTCAACCTCTCTCATCGTTTTCTTTATCATAGTCTGTCCTGGCATAGCACGAGCGAATTCCGGGTGTAATTTCTGTTGTATAAGTGCATTGAGCCTTTTTAAGGGCAATAAAAGTAACACCAGCACTTTCAAATTGTTGTCTTGAATTGCCTTCAGCCCAGTGAAGAAAAAACAAAACGATTTTGATTTCCTCAACATAACATAACTGGTAATTTGTAAATGTTGCAGTGACCGTTTGACTTGTGGTGGCAGCAAAAGGTTTTGTTGAAGGGTTCTTACTTTGCATGATTTTCTGTACCATACGGTGTACCTGAAGGAAATGTCTCTAGCCCAATCCATTTCAATTTATGTACAACGACCTTCACCATCAGGTCGTGTCACCTAGCTTTTTCTCTAGTAACAATGCTCTTGTGTATTGGCCAATATAATGTCAGTCTGATGACCTTCTTCGACAAGATATTTCGTGGCTTCCATAGATGTTGTCATGTTAATAAAAATACATCTCAATACATTACTAAGGAAACCAAAGTTTTGCATATAGGATGGTTAGAGAAAATAGTGGATCTTAATTATACCTTAGTTAACATGCAGTTTTACAGCTGATAATGAGTACAAATATCTTCTTGTAATAATTTCAACGACAAGATTTCTTGGGTAAATCATGTTAAGCCACTACCAAATCAGACATACTCAGTATGTCTTGCTCTCATCTTACAGGTTTGTAGTGTTGACTATTCTGGAATACAAGCAGCCTATCTGGTATCCTCACAACAGAAACCTTATATTGACAAATTAGAACAGAATTGAACGTTGAGCAATTGGGAAGATTCTCTAGCAAAGAAAATTTAAAACGCATTTCACTGATTAGTTGCATATGTACGTTGAATTTGTCTTTACGTGAATCTAAAATCATCCATCTTTTTCTTACCTTTGTTGTTAGAGATCTTTCTGGAGCTTTTGACAGTGGAACTGTCTCCGTTAATAGGAGACAGACCTCAGGGCTCCAATGCAAAAACATTTTGCCAATTGCATGCTCTTGGGATGAAATGCACGTACCTGAACGTTTGAGAACTGAAGTGGGCGAAATGAACCTTCAACACCGGACCAACTGATTAAGTACCCACTTGAATCTGAAGTATAAAACTTTACAGAGCACTGATTGACTTGGCAGTTGAGTACCTTTGTAATAAGGTTGAGACTGGCGAATTGTGGGAGGGGCACTGTGTTGCTTGTAAGGAAGCACAAAATGCAGGGATTTCAAGACCTAGGATTTGCCATGTGGGCCAGATCTGTCGATGGTTTTCCATTTGTCGGTCTTCAACCATATTTTGTTATTCCATGGTGTCTTTCTTGTTTTCGGTTTTGTACAATAAATTTCTTTCATTGTTTTCGGGGTACTTGTCATAAATTGATTTGTTTTTGTAATTAATTTCATTTTCTTTATTGTAATGTATTTGTATGTCAGATTTATGTTATTTTCGCCTACTGAATGAACTTTTTCTGTTTGATTTATTTACCATTTCTTGAATCATATTTTCCTTGTGCATTTACTTTATTGTGTATGTGTGTGCACGTTTATGTAGAGCCTGGAGCTTCAGAAATGAAGGCTTAGGGATGACAGTTACTGGATTAACTGTTTCCTCTCCGGGCATTTGTAATGTTTGTGTTTTGATTTCAGTGTATATGTGTTTTGTTTAATTTTCTGTTCTTTATCCTGGAAAACGCCGAATAAATAAAAGTGTTTCCCTCATTTTACACACGTAAGTTGGTCTCTTTTCGTCGAAGAGTTGTTATCTCGGAGGTTGAGTAGGTTTACAAATGGTCCGAATGGGCGAGCTTGGCGTGACTGGACACGGATACACATTTTACTACCCACTGGAGAACATTTTATTTCTACAGTTGGAAACATTGAACAAATACATGTAGGCTTCATATTTTGTTTGGTTTTGCATGCTACACACGTCACATACTCTGCCTCTGCCTCCACGTTGTCTCTATATCCGATATCAAATTGTCGAGAGATGGACTGATCCTGGAGTCTTGGAAAGGTTATATGCAAAAAAAGAACTTTCATTCCCATATGGCAACAGAAGAGACATATTTATGATTGGGGGTCAGAGTTTTCCTTAAGACACTCGGCAGTCGGTTTGTCTCTGCCGCTCCGTTTTTCTCTATAACTGAGGTTACAGTAAATAGTCTCAAAACGGTCAAAATGGGCTGATCTTGATTTCGACGGAGAGGGTAAATGTTTATCTTATCATTGATGTAATCCTTCTGTCCATATTTAAGCTGAAGCTAGGGAAATACCCGCAAAAGAAGGTCAGAGTTGGCCCACTGCTGCGTGTGGTGTTGCAATTCTTCCTTTGTTCACACCTTACTGTGCCTCTTAAGCGCTCATTGTGATCCCGATATTATCCTAGCATAAAAAGTTTGAAAATTGTTAAATTGTGGTAAGCATGATGGCAATCAATGGGCACTTGCTCCTCTATCCATTAAAGTTTCATATTCATAATAAGGCAAGACTTTCTGTCTGTGCTAGCGCTTTCTGTTTTCGTGCGATTTGTCCTTTGCCCACACTTTATCGGTCCTCTTCCCAGCAGCATAAACGTTCAGATATTTGTCCAAATGTGGCATTCATGGCAGCTTCTGAAATGGTACATATTCCTCTATCCATTGGTCTAAGTTTCAGATCCATATTTGTTATTGTGAAGGGAAGTATCCACAGAATAAGGCAGAGTTGTCTCACTGCTTGTTCTTTTTGGCAATTCTTCCTCTGTGCAAACTGTACCGTTCCTCTTCCCCAGTAAAGATTGCACCCTGTATCCGGGCATTACAGGTCTAAAAGTGATTCAAATCTAGCAATCTGAGCGACATCTGAAAGGGCATACTTTCCTTTATCGAATAATACAAGTTTTATATCCGTATTTTTACTTACCGGGGAAATATACTTGTACGAAAGAGAAGGCAAGAGATCACTAATTGCTTGTCAGTTTTGTGACCTTTCTCCACGCTTTTCTCACCTTTCTTCCGGCAATCTTACCACTATTCGAAAGAGCACATGTTCTAACGATTAACATAAGTTTGATATCCATCCTTGGTGTGTTTAGGGAAATATGGGAGAAAGAAGACGAGTTCTTCTTGGTCTGTTGCTGTTTTTGTGAATTCTTGCATTCGTCCTCACATTGCCGTTCCTCATCCTGCGCAAATACCGCTCCATATGTTCGAGCAAAGAGCGCCTAAAAATTGTCTAAATCTGGCAATCCAAGTACCGTGTAAAGGAGCACATTTCATGTCCATGTTGGGAAAATGTTGGCGAAAAAGGCAAACCTTGTCCTGCTTTTGTTCAGTTCTCTTTTTCCTCATTTTAACAGCCCCCTTTCCAGGCAAAGATGGCTCAAGATATTTGAGCACAAAAGTCTGAAAATTCTCCAAACCTAGCAATTCTAGTACTGCCTGACAGAGAATAAGTTTCACTTTCTATTGAAGAAATTTTCATTATCCTGCTGTTCCAGATAGGGAAATATTAGCAAAGGTAGGCAAGAGTTCTTGTCCCACTACTTTTA